AGAACGCTGAGCTGGAGGAAGAGCTGTCGAAGCTGTACGGCACAGTGAAGTCCTTGAGACAGGAGGTGGCCTCTCTACAAAAAGACAACCTCAGCCTCTATGAGAAGACACGCTATGTCTCAACATACAACCGTGGCCCAGGCGCATCATCGTCCGCCTCTGCTTACGCAAGCAGGCCCAATGCCTCGTCCATCCACCCATCGGCGGACACGCCGTCAGGGCTCTCCCTCGATCGGTACCAATCCGCGTATGAGGCTCAGATCTCACCATTTGCCGCCTTCCGGGGCCGTGAATCTACGCGTGCATACAAGCGCATGAGCCTACCGGAGCGGATCGTATTCTCCCTTACCCGAATCATTCTCGCTAACCGCACAAGCCGGAACCTTTTTGCGGGCTACTGCTTTGCTCTACACATCTTGATCTTCGTCATGCTGTATATGATGAGTACCATGGAGATCGAGAAGCATAGCAGCGCAAGCCTTGGTGCAGCCGCTGCGGCTGCGATGGCCGGCGGGGGCAGCGGTAGCGGTGGCTACACTGGCCAGCAGCTCCATGGAGACGATTGGCAGCAAGAAGGCTTCAACCACGCGGGTTGATCTTATGACTATCATTGTATTCTAGCCCGTTGGGAGCGACGAATCATTCGAGGGCGTTTGTTGGTTGGCGGTTACGATCTGTGCTGATATTTTTCTATGTGAATATCCTATGTTCTATAATGCAAATACTTCTATATGATACTCAGACACTTTGATCGGTTAGAACCGTAGCTGCTACAGATGTAGCGATGCGCGGTACATGGGTACAATGAACGGAGGAACGACGGTTCCTACGGGTGGTACTGCGAATGAAGCTGCATGTTACAGGGGTCTGAGCTTTGGGGAGGAAGAACAAAAATGTTAATAAAGAAGGTAGCAAGCATGTAGTTTCCTCATTATCTATATCTATCTATCTATCTTGCTTGTATCCTTTTTCTTCTCTGTAGGGAGTGCAAAAAAAGAGAAAACCAAAAAATGAAACGGCCCGAGCCGCGGATCGAACGCGGGACCTCTCGCAGATATGCTTGGGTTTGTATCCCTAAGCGAGAATCATACCACTAGACCACCCGGGCGTTGCTTGTTGAAACACGGGTGTACCTTAAGATCTATGAGTCTTAGTTAACGTCATCTGTTTCCAGAGGGCTACTTGCCCTATAATGAAACTCGTCATACATGGTTGTACAGCTGAGGATGTATGAATTGCTCTGTTTGCACATTATTGAGCTTTGGAATCCCCCGGGCTACAGTCACAAGCTAGAATGAGCGATGTACTTGAGTGTCGGGTGCTGTTACCACTTGTTGGTCAGGGACAGGTTGGCTGAATATATTTTACGGGTACCGCTGCTCCTACCACTATACATGGATGGTACTTGCTCTTCATTCAACCTCAGCCTGTCAACACTATCATCAATTTAGCGCAGAATCTCGTCGCGGCACTTCAGACATAGCACTTATCACCTCAGCTATATTGTGGATGTGTTGCCCCAAATCAATGATCGGCCCTCGTGCGAGTATACTCACACCCAACGGCATAATTGGGACTAGTATTGTAACACAACAATAACTACACCTAATGTGAAAAGAACCATGAAGTTACTAACCCCGTCCTAAACAAAGAGCCATAGGGCTGTAGCTACATTATATGCATAATAGAGATGCGTCATTGATCGTCCACCCAGAAATGGCCAAGCCTACGAAACGACCCAGCCAGACAACCTTCAATAAAATGAGATACTGCTAGGACGACAAGCGCGATGCGATGTACACGATGGCCACCTATACCAGTCCCCTTGTTCCAGACACAACAATAGGACCATACTAATGCTGACGGATTTTGCCCATCATGTCCCAATAGCCACCCGAGCCATGAGCCAGACCGGTACCACACCGCGGCCGAACGAAATCCTCCTTGGAGCCAGAAGGCCAAATAGGGAGCTGACAAACCTCGTCTATCTTGCACTTATTGCACTCCCTGAAGACCGCCCAATCTAAGTAGTGCTTTAGCTCCTCAATGATCGCGATGCCCTCCTCATAAGTCTCTGCGCTCGCGCCAGCAACCAGACTCGAGCACAATCGCTCCGAGACCCGAGAAACTGCTTGAGCCGGAACAGTGGTAGTATCAGCGCCTGAAACCCAGAACTGCTTGGCACAACGCTCAATCTCCGCAGTCGAGTTGCGCGCACGCGCGTCGATAAAGGGCTCGATAGCGAGGTGGAGCCCACGTCGAAGTTCATGGTGAGTTGAAATGGCTGGAGACAATGCCAGGCTAATGCGGTATTGGTATCTGGTCATGATCATGTCAACGACGTTTTGCCAGTTAATACTGGGGGCTGTCGCGTCAGGTCCTCTGACTAGTCGGTCAATGTGTGCGCGTACGGGCCCCAGCTTTGCAGCATCGTCGACCACCCGGGGAAGGCCCTGCTCGTCAAAGTACATCGCGTCCGGGTATGCGAACATTGTGACAAAGTCGTCGTAGTTGATGGACACTCTGCCACCCCCAATTCCGTCGAATCGGGTAGCAAGTGCCCGGGCATAGCTGAGGTGGGATCCTCCGTCGCCATCGCGCGATGGGTAGGTGCTGAGGATGCTCACAACATCGAGGTTATCGGCGAATGAGCAGAGAATAACCTCGAAGCCACCGACCATTCGGATGAATCCGTCAACACGATTGTCCCACTGATCGCGGGCCATGGCACACAGGTCATCGGCACGCAGGTCGTCACCCTCTGCTGGGCTGCCATCGAAGAGGGTTGCGTTTCGAAGGACGATGTCTTGCATGTCGAGGGTACCCTTGAGAGATTTTGCAGCTGACTGTCCATCAAAGTAGACAAGACGTAATTCACGCTTAGTGCGATAGGTGTGGAAATATCCCGTCTGTTCTTCAGCTGTAGGTTCGGTGGGCATGGAGGATGACTGCTCTTGATGCTCCTCAATGTCTGACTGGCTCTGGCGGCCAGGCTTGTTATGGTGACCATCGTGAGATGCATGAAGAGCCTGGGTGTCGAATTCTTCCACCAATATTCTGCGGGACTCCCCTTGCTCAGTTAAGAAATACTGGACCATTGACTGCAATCTCTTCCATTGGCGAGTGAAGAGGCCTCGGTGAGCCGCGCTTTCAGCAGTCATGTCAACCTTGTGATGTTTTGTCTTCACGCGAGAATCTGCATGATATGTTTTCATATGTTCGCGGTGCCGGGCATGATCCTGTGTCCAGCCACTGTTGCCCGAATCAGAGCCAATTTGCTGGTGAAGCGACTCTTTCTGATGCTTATCGCGAGAACCTGCACGATATGGTTTCACATGTTCGCGGTGCCGAGCATGATCTTGCACCCAGCTGCCAGTTTCCGATTCGAAATCATTTGCATGTTTAACAGACCCTTTCCAATTCTTATCATGGCTTTTCCCCGTACTGCCCCGCTCCTCATCGTCAAGTGGCAGGTTGTTAGCCCTATAGGGTTGTTGACGACGAATCCTACCAGGATGGGCAAAAGCCATGGCATGCTCCGGCTCAAAAGCCAGCCACTCAGTTCCGTTGATACGATATGCACTGGAAGTACCGTGGTAGAATTCCGTCCCTTCAGGCACCGTGGCAATGAAGACGGACATCCCATTGTGCTGCATGACGCTGCCGAACATCTTCATGGAGTTATGCAGAGCATTGAAGATGTGGTTGGCATAAGTAGAGCCATCTGGCACAGCAAGTCGTTCTTCGGCTGGGAATGGACTGGATGCCACCGTCCATGGCAATAAAGCCCAAGCTAGCCGCTTGGTATCGAGCTTCATGACTGTCGAAAAGACACCACTTGGATGCCTGAGGCGATATCTCAGGAAAGGAAACTCCCGTCGACATAGAAGTCATGCCAAGCTCCTTATGAAGTAGATCAGATTTGGGTCTCTCAGGGGCAGAAACCCGAGATGACGTGGTCTCCACTTCACACAGCTGAGACTAGAGGCATGGAAGGGGAAATGTGAACAAGCGCTTCGACATTAGAGTCACATGGAGGTAGTAGGAGTATTACCCGACCGTAGGTTGGAACATTTCACTTGATGTCGCCATCACGGCACATAAGACAGCCAACAGGCATCCTGCCTGTGAATTAGCCGGGTGGTCCGTTCGGTCTCTCGCGGTCCCATCCAAGAATCGGGAAGCATATTCGGGCCTCGGAGATAACGATATCAAGGGCACAATGCATCGGATGCCAACCTCAGTCGGCAGGATACATCAGCCCGGGTATTATTGACCCACTCGGTCGCGGGGGACGTTGTTGGCTGAAATCGGAACGACCGGCAGCAATCCGTGGATGTAATGGCTCCCAATAAGGGTACTCAATGCTGACCGTGCATCGGAGTTGATGTTCCGGACCAATTTAAGCAGCTGATTTATCTTATCTGATCCAGGTGTCTCCTGGGTTGGCTCGCCAGTCCCACTCAGCCCTGATGTACTATCATGCTGCGCTTGGCATACCATCCAATCCATCCAACCACATCTGACCGCATATAGGATACCCCTGCAACCGATGCTGGTCCTTCCATATCTCGGTTGGGAAGTCTACAAGCTCACACCACTCTCACTGGCATCTTCCTTCTCCGTACAGCTGTACAGCGCATGACGGATGCCCAGAATTCCATCCTTGACCCGTGTCTTGATGCAATATAGGATGTCAATTGACATTGGCTGTAGAGATGAGGGGGTGCGAGATGGAGCTCCACGACGACTTCGTTTTCGGATTGCTCTTTCCGAGAATGAGCATTATATAGCGGCCTCAAGACGACTTGGAATTGGGTATCAGAGCACTGCACTTTGAACAGCTTCTTCATTTCCCAAGTTTTCTATTCATCTTTGGCAAAGGTATAGGCCGGCCAAGGTGCTCATCGAGTTCATAACCTTGCTCAGTCCTATACAAACAGTTGTTTGGCTCTTCCTTCAAGAAATATTTTCGAAGTAGACCGCACCCTTTTCCCCCAATGAAGTTAACTATCCCTGTCCTACTCCTCGGGGCTGTCTCAGCGGTCAATGGGTGAGTATCATCTAATTGCCACAGTTAACACTGTGTCTATACTGACAGTGCTAAGCTTGAGTGAGTGCATTCTCAACTGCCAAGCCGAGGCTGCAGCAAGCGACTGCAGCACCAGTAACTAGTAAGTCGAATACAATTACGTCCGCTTCTTCGAGCAAGCATCTCATGATCAACGCACAGTAATCAGACCAGCTGCTACTGCAATAACGGTGACTTCCCCATTGATGTGCAATGGTGCCTAGAAAAGTATGAACGAAAATCACTCTCAGTGTGACCGTTTACACATGCTAACCCAGAGAAAAGGAGCTGCTCGGATGATATCGGATCTTTCCACACCTATCGTGGCTCACAGTGCGGAGGATCTTCTGCTACCACCACCGCAACTGCAGCTGCCTCAACTTCAACCATAACTCTGAGTAGCTGCATCCTAGACTGCCAGTCTACTGCCGCCGACACTGTCGGTGGTGTTTGCTCGTCTAGCAACTAGTGCGTTCCCATACCTTCCTAGCCCCCCTTCTCAAGCCACAAAAGCTAACCCCAACACCCAGCAACAACACAGCCTGTTATTGTGACTCGGATTCCTTCGCCACCCAAACCCAGGACTGCATCTTCTCGTCTGTACCCCCTCCCCTTCCCTCCCCTACACCATTACCAGCCAGGTCTAACAAAACCCAGGGACTGTGCCGGCCAAGATGGCACCTTCCACCAATGGCGTGGATCTATCTGCGCATCCAGCACAACCACAAGCAGTTCCACCTCAGCTGCGACATCCACTAGCTCTAGTTCCGGCAGCTCTGGACTCAGCAAAGGCGCCATCGCAGGCATTAGTGTCGGCTCTGCCGTCGCCGGGATTGCAATTATCTCCTTGATTGTATTTACGCTCCTACGTCGCCGGTGGAAAGCCGCCCATACTTACAACAAGGACAGTGACCCTAGGAACTTTCCGCTTCATAAGATGGCTTCGGCTTCGACGTCTGTTGCGTGAGACTAGTTATCTGTATATCGGAAGACTCTAATATATGTATGGAGACTAGGGGGATACATACAATGCGGCAATAAAACAATGGTCTTTCCATTTATACTAGCTCTACGGGCTATCTATCATATCATACCACATCACGATAGAACCCAGATAGAATGTAGGACTACCCAATTACCAAATACTTCTGTCGTGACAAGAAATTAGGTAGACTGCAACATACTACACATCGCAATGATTAGATATGCAAATTAAGCAAGCTGACTAACACACCATGAATTCCTCTGGTTATGCACCTCGCAAAGTACTACCAAATACGGAAGTTAGCGCCGGAAAGCTAAGATATGCAAGAATATTGTCTAGATGAAGATTGAAAGGAATAGGAGGATTATGATGCAATGCCTCAACGTTTCTTTCCTGGGAGAATAGGATGATATATAAGTGATTTAAAGTAAAGTGACGCTGGTCTTAATTAGGTCCCCCCGACCGATTAATATCTTCCTAAGACAGTCAGTCTTGCTCCCAACATCTAGAGAGGGAAGCAACCGTTCAGATTCTTGGTCAGTGACACGATGTAAACTAACTAGCTAGAAGAGACATATAGACTCCTGTCAACGTGACCATTGCCCAATCCCGCTATGGAGGGAAAGAAAATGGAACCAGCGTGAGACTCGGCTCGTCAGACGTTCAAGACAAGGCGACCAAACATTTGCGGCGCATAATTCCAGCGAATATACTGCATAACACGGTTCAGGGTGATGACAAGTTCAAGCATGCGTTTTCGGCTTGTGGCATCCCCCTCAAGTTCGGGAATGGGACCCCAGATATACTGCAGATGTTAGTTCAAAAATTAATACAAAGCGATAAGCATGAATTAGCGTACCACATCTTTCAACTTCCCAGAAGAACAACCCATCGCATATATTATGTAGAATCTCCAAACAGATCCCACTACTGTGCATCCGATAACAGGTGGAGGGGGAATATCTGGACAAACATGTCGATAAGAATCATGAGCCCAAGACATTAGACCAGCCATCCATACTCCCAATTGTACGCGAGCTTCATCACGAGTACCGTCAAATCCTTTGACTTTGACGCCGAGGCCAAGTAGTCTTTTCCCTGTGTGCGGATGCTCGATGTGACTCAGCTCTCGATCGGGGATATCTATCCCGGCGAGCGTATAACTTTCTTTCCAAGGCTCTTTCGGTAGACCAACGACTAAATCAACTTTATGATTGAACATGCCTCTCGCACTATGAACAGGCAGATACTTGTCCCTCACAGGCTCCGCTTGCCTACAACCGAGTCTATCAGCTTCCAAATTCTTGCTGCGACTTGTGCACGGTGGCTTACACGCTCCACGAATCCAAGGGCAGATCATCGATGGCCAAGTCTAAGAGCGGTCGGACATAGTCCATCACCCATGAACCTTTACTTCGCCCCTCCTTACCACAGCGATAACATGCAGATATTACCTTGCTCATTTCATGTTCATAACCATCAGAAGTCCAAGTAGGTTTACCATGTTTCAAAAAGTGTATGAGACCATAGACGTGATTGGAATCAGGCGCCTTGCTGTCTAAGAGCGGAAGGGCGTTTTCGAACCCAGGCACTATGTAGTGTGCCCGAAAGACAATCCTGGGTCTAGCTTCTATAAGTCTGTTGATCAAGTCCGTGAGGATGCGGTATCGTCTTCTTAGCTCAGGACTGGACTCAGATAATGGCAATGACTCGTCGCTTTCACAAAACTCCGTTCTAGATGCTTGATATGGCTTTAGCCTGCTGCTTCACATGGGAGATATCGGGTGACTCACCCCCAATGCTCTCATCTTCGGTGTGAACTTGTCCTGCTTCCTCACAGACATTTGCCTCAATGTTCTCCCGGGCAGGGGTTCGTCGAAACCATTCGCCTGCCATCTCGAGCAGATTTGGGCTTGGACCGTCCGTTGAGGAGACAATGACGTTCTGGATAGATGACGAAAGAGTCAGTAATAATAAGCTATGAAGATAATGGAAAAGAAGGTCATATTCGTGATAGACAATAGCAGGGAATGCGGTAGGATTAAGGAAGTGTTGAGGAACGGTTATTATTACAGCAGAACACCTGGAAGGAAGGCCTCACCCTTTAGCCCTAACCTGCCAAATCGAGATTTGGCTCTCGGATGGCCTAGATAATTTTCAGGTTCCTTCTTGAAAGAAACAACTGAGATCTAACGAGACAAATGATGCCAGAGTGTGCAGAAACCGAACCGATAACCTCAGTTCTCTCGGAAAAGTTCCGACATCCAGCTCATGCATATACACATGAACCTCTCCAAAGTCCCTATGAGGTGTTCTTGATGACAAGATAATTTTGGGGAAGCAAAAATTTTGATGACACTTTCGGAGTACACTTGGCAATACTTCATAGTCTGATTGCTGTTGAAATGTGCCATTTGCTAGTGGGATTGATATGCCGTTGGAGACGTCGGTCGTCCGGTTACTATAATCGAACATCGATTATCAAAATGACTGCACATGGGCCGTGCTGGGATATGCCGATTATTCACATGTGCCTGGCTGAGTTCTACCTGACACGTTACAGCTTTTATAACAAGCGAAAACATTGAATAATAATGTCGATTCACAGGTACATTGAATTGTGAGCAGTCCTTTGAAGGGACGCCCACCCGTTGTGTAGTAGCCGCTTATTATAATCACGACAGCTTAATGACTCGAGAGCCACCTTTTGATGGTAGTTCGAAAAAGGCATCTTACAAATAAATTATTTTTCTTTTTTTGTGCACCGCTAATGGAAGTTTCTTCTAGCAAAGTACCACCATTTTTCGGGATAAATGCTCTACCCGTTACAAGGACAAAAAATTCCAATTACAAAAGCTTTGTATAGAATTGGGAAAGCGCTAAGAACCTGCCAATGGGCTCATATCGGCCACATGTGGTCCGAGATCCCCGGACAACATTGCGGGAGTATTTGGACTTATCACCTGTGATGACTGGAAGAATGACACCGGATAAGTCCTAGACAAATGCAAGGTCCAGGGATATGAACAAGTAGTTTACGAGGGTACGGAAACAGGAAGAGCATAGCAAACAAGTAAAAGAGAGTTACAACGAATTGTGGGTTTTCCTCCAGATTAATAACCTCCTGAAGCGTATAGAATAGCCCCAGTCGTTCAGCAAGCCGCGTGTGACCTTCCATCCATAGACCTCCAGCGGGTTAACTACTCACTCGAGACTGAAGGAAAGGGGCAAAAATCGAGAGCTTCCGTCACATCCGCATGGATTCCGGTTCCAATTCAGTTCTTGGCTCCTACAAAAGGATAATATTACCGAATCACTTATGTGTCTATCTCTACGCATGGGTGTGTCTGGAAGTGGCGGATTAGTGGGATACCGTGTTCTTTGCAATGGACACAAGGTTTCATCTATTCGCATGTCTATCTATCTCATCAGAACACAAGTACCACTGCCAATACCACCTTTCTAAAGCCTTTTACCCGCTCTATCCGAGTAAGCATCGACATCTTCCACTTCGTAGACATTGGTGACATCATTAAACTACATAAATAGTAACGTAGATACATCAATCCCTAATCAGACACGGACAGACGGAGCTGATACTCCACAAAATGCAAAAAAATCACGCATGATGGCCAAGGTCCTCTTCACGTAGACGGCAAGGCCGAAGACCGAAAGCTCTCCGAGCCATGAATCCAGAAAAACACACTATGTATGCACGCGAAGTCACAAGAGGAGTCATCTCCGAGAAATAGCGCATGATACGTGGGGGTTAGCAGGGAAGCGAGGGCATTCACGGTTTCGGGGATGGTTCAAATGACCCGAGGAGCTGATGATCCGTCGCGGAGACGGTGACAACTGTGCTGCAGGCTTGAGGGTATCACACCGGAAGTCAGAACTAGTCGTGCAATGGCTGCAGAAGTGAGACTGACTCCGCTATTTGGAGAAGCTACTTAGGAAAAGCGGAATGTGCCGCTGATGATGTCTGAGAGCCCGTTCTATAAAAGATAAGAGGGTTGCATTCGGGCCAAAGACGGCCGTTGCGGGAATAGACGTACTATTAGCACATAATCTGTTTTGATTTATGGGTTAGTAGGTGCCTAGAGGAACTTTTGGTCAGGACAACTCATCTGTGGTAGGGCAGAATTGCTTTTGATGGAAAGGGGATCTCCAGGCATCAACAAGCTGTGGGGTTGGCCTTTCGGTGGAGCTTACAAGAACGAGTATCAGTGTGCTTTCTCAGAAGCTTGGTTATCTCTGCACGCCCTGATGTCATAATTGGTTGTTGGGAGGGAATTAGGATCGGCAGTAGCTTCCATGAGACTCAGAATAGAGATCTTGTGACGTGAGATGCTTCGAGATTGCGACTAGTAACCTTACTTAGCCGGTATAGAGTCTACCGTTCCTATTTTTATGCCGCTTAATCTACAATCCCTGTCGGCAGGATTGAACCTACTATCTCAGAATGGGGATGGGCCATCCTGCGTCTGGCATGTGCTGTATGGGGGGGTGCAGGTGGTACCTCCACGAGGGTGTCTAGTACGTCAATTCTGATGAGTACCTGCTTCAATTCAGGAACAACGCTGACCAAGCACATTGCATCCTATATTATTTAGCATTGGCAATAATAAACCTCAGTTCAACTTCAACCATGGTCAAGTCCAAGATAACAGCCGTTGCCCTACACTTAGAAGCGTAGCTAAGCGTCGAGCACAGGCCCCTCTTATAATAAGCCCAGATAATCCCTGTTGTGAAAGGATCATCCAAAAATAACCAGCCCCTACAGCGATCGCCGATTTGCCAAATCATACTGTGGATACACACACCCTGGGGGTGGGATAGATAGACTAGTAGTCGTCAGGTTGTTCATGGGGGAGTGTGGACGGGAATCTGCAGGCTAACCGGCATTGGCAAGCTTCTAGTAAGCTAAGCGCCGACCCCTCACGGTGAGATATTAGGGCTGCTCTATTAATAGCCGGTGAAAGGCGATCGGACATTTTTTAAACAGTCGGCGCCAATGAAACCTTGTCACTAGACAGGGTTAGTCAAAAAGGCTTCGATCGTTCGATATACCAATCATGGCGCGCCAACGACTTTATCTTCTGCAGAAATAGTCGCCAGGATAGACGACCGTGTTTCGCGTGGCCCACCCTCGTATACCGTTACTTTCGGCACTTTTGGAGGCGTGAAGGATTCATGCCTGGCGCCCATTCTTGCACCAATGGGAGATTCACATTGCTTGTGCGTGCTGTGGGCGCCTTCAGGCTTGCTGTGAGTCGAGGCTGTTTATAGATACAACATTATGGGTTTCAAGAGGCCGGTGTGGTACTGCGTTTGATTGCACATGCAAGCCTTCTTCTTGTGGCTGTCGGTCTGTTCGAAATAATTCTTATATAGCCCTTCGTCCAGCTGGATGCACCCTTCTATTCTTTTCTTCAGGTCCCCAGCCATCCAATAGTTAGTTCATCTCAGGGGAGAGAGCTCATCTCTTCCTTTCCTCTCCTTCAACTCTTCACGATTGCTATTCTTCTTAAGAGATATCCGTCAGCGTTAGAACCTCCCTCCTCTCGACTTCTCCATCCTTAAGCTTCATTCTATCCTTGCATACAGTGTATGCTATTTTGATCCTGCCACCCTCTTCGAAATAGAACATCACGTTTGTACGAAGCATCCGGAATGCGTGCAAGCCTCTTTCTCCTGGGCTGCCTGACAGCAGGCTCCATGGCAGCACCAACTCTCCTAAACGACGTATACGATTACTCGTCAGACTTAGCCACCTACCTCGGAAAAGTGAGCAAGTACATCGAGAGCACGGGAGAAGAGCTCATCAAGAGCGTCAACTCATGCGACACATCCAAGATCTCCCTCCCGTCATACGCATCCAGCCTGCCCTCACCATCCGGGATGAGCCCAATTTATGTGGCTGTGGGCCGTGGCACCCAGGTAAGCAGAAACTGACCCGCCTACTGTCACACAAACAATGCAGGGGGAGAACCGTTCAAACTGACAAGCCCTCTCCTTAGAACTACACCTGTGCCACTTCGACCTCGAGCTCAACACCCCAAGCCATAGGTGCAGTGGCGCGTCTTTACAATGCAACCTGCATTGCGGCCAATTACCCAGACATGTTGTCGTTACTCCCGGGTATAGTGTACAAGGAACAGTTGCCCAGTAACGAGGAGGAACCTCTCCCGCCGGCTAACCTTGAACTCTTGGGTCATCATTTCTTTAGAGATACGACCACACCAGTTTTTAACCTGGATACTCTGGCGTCTCGGCAGTATGGGATTGCGATCACGAAAAAACAAGACTCGATCGATGCTCCGTCGAGTGCTATTCAGGGTAGCAATGGGGCTGTCCAATGGCTGTACCTGACCACTATCAACGGTACCGTCGGTGAGTATGAAGCGGTCTATCGAGTAGACACGGTTGCCGGTTCAGCCCCGAAGACCTGTCAGGGAATGCAGTCGGTGTTTACTGTGCAGTATGCGGCCAATTATTATTTCTATGGGGCATGATGGAGGGTGGGGTACAGAGCAGTTGCACTGTAAATAGACGGAACTGAAGAAATGTTTCATGACAGGTACACTATACATCATGTTAGAGTAATCAGTAGCGCGTAATCCTGGCCCATTAGGTAGCGTAGCTGTCAATTCTGCAACTGTTGAGGGTCAGTCTTAAGCGCCGAGTTGTCAGAGAAGAGCGATGCGCCTTCCGATTGGCAGGGCTGGCCAGCGTCAGGTGACCTCGCTATCCAGCGCCGTCACGTGCTTCCAGTGCCCACAGCAGCAAGCCGCGCTAGCACCCAACGGGGCCTAGTGCCGACTGAATTTCGAAAGAATCCAAGGCTCCGTCTGAAAAATCTCGACCGCAACAACGACGAACAGCACGGCCTCGACCGAACACTGAACGCCAGTGCGGGTGCATTTTTTCTGCAAAAGCTTCTCTTCAAGGTCCTCGAGACTCGACAATTTCGGATTTTCCTTCTCCCGAACGGGCCTTCCTTGCCAATTTTTCTTTTTCCTATTCTCCGGTTATACCGCAACCGAAGAATCGAAGCATCAGTCCGATAACTTTTCTGGACTGACAGCATTTTGACTTAACGTCTTTATCGACATTTTTCCGATTTAAATCACATATATCACAATGGCATTCGGTGGCCCTCGTGGTGGACGTGGCGGTGGCCGTGGTGCTCCTCGTGGAGGTGGTGGTGGCCGTGGTGGTAGAGGTTTGTTCACCATCGATTGATTTCATCTTGGGAGAAACGTGGAAGGCATGCGGGTCTATGTGATCTGTTCGCATTGCTGTCGTCGAATCAGTTTGATCCTGCATGTTGCGATGGAAAAGTTTTGTCTTGTCCAAGAGCATATCAGGTTTTCTGATGGTCGACTCGAATCGCGTGCCGGATCTGCGGTTCTCCCTTTAAGGGAAAAAAGAACGTGTCGCTAATCTTTTCACGTTCTATAGGCGGTCTTGGTGCCGGTGGTCGTGGCCGTGGCGGTGGTGGCCGTGGTGCTCCCCGCGGTGGTCGTGGTGCCCCCCGTGGCCGTGGTGGTCCTCGCGGCGGTGGTCGCGGCGGTGCTAAGGGTGCTAAGGGTGGTGCTAAGGTCATCATTGTAGGTTTTCCCTGATTATCCAATCGAGAAGAAAGAAATTGGATGGAATCTAACAGGAATTCGCATAGGAACCCCACCGTCACGCTGGTGTCTTCGTCGCCCGTGGTGGCAAGGAAGATTTGCTCGTCACCAAGAACCTTACTCCCGGAGAGGCCGTCTACGGTGAGAAGCGCATTTCTGTCGAGTCCCCCGCTGAGGAGGATGGCACTGTCACCAAGACCGAATACCGTGTCTGGAACCCCTTCCGTTCCAAGTTGGCTGCCGGTATCCTGGGTGGTCTGGATGACATCTACATGCGCCCTGGCTCCAAGGTCCTGTATCTCGGTTCCGCCAGCGGTACCTCCGTCAGTCACGTTGCCGATATCGTCGGACCTACTGGTAACGTCTACGCCGTTGAGTTCTCCCACCGTTCCGGTCGTGACTTGATCGGCATGGCTACCCACCGCACCAACGTTATCCCCATTGTCGAGGACGCCAGACACCCTCTCCGCTACCGCATGCTCGTCCCCATGGTCGATGTCATCTTTGCCGATGTTGCCCAGCCCGACCAGGCCCGTATTGTCGGCCTGAACGCCCACATGTTCCTCAAGGAGGGCGGTGGTGTCATTGTCTCCGTCAAGGCCAACTGTATCGACAGTACCGCCAAGCCCGAGGTTGTGTTCGCTCGTGAAGTCCAGAAGATGAGAGAGGAGAGGATCAAGCCCAGGGAACAGCTGACCCTGGAGCCTTTCGAACGTGACCACTGTATAGTGTCTGGTATCTACAAGCGCTCTGCATGAATTTAAGAAACAAAAAGAATCCGGTGGTTTTTGCTCTTTTGTCTCTCTCATGTCATAATTATGCTTCCCCTTTTTACGGCGTCGAGTGTTCCGTGATCTGTTGCAATTTTTCTCGAATTTTTTCCTTGTGTGTCCTCATGTCCAGGTTTCTTAGATGTACTTCTTGAGTCAGAAAATTTCGAGGTTTACGGTTTCTGGTCGTTCAAGAGTTTAGCTGCTAATTAAGCTGGTCAATGATTCACCATTCTTTTGTGTAATACAATGTGTAGTGTTGCTAGACGATACGCCATAGCCCATCGTACGTTGATCCATCTCGGACTTCCCCCGGCCATCCGCTTTTTGCCCACATCTCGGCACTCGGACCGTTCAGCGGAGAACAGACCGAAATGCCTCAATAAATTCCACTAATCGGACTTGCTGCGTGGATCCATGATGCTGGACTAATGAGGGGCTTCGTTTTGAGCGATTTCAAGATGAGTGAGGGACTTTGGATTAAAGATGAGGCAATTGAATGACTGCATTCGCAGTAGCGGTTCTGAAGTCTCCGCTCAACCCCGCAGTAGGCTGACTGTCTTTACTATATAAGAAGACATATAATGCGACATCACTATCACTTACCCAAAAAAGCCAGTCTGCAGCAATCCACATATCTGGCAACTCCCAACACACCTACCGATTATAAGTTACAAGTACAGCTACAACTACAACATGTCCATACTCATCACCGGAGCCAGCGGCTACGTTGGGCAAGAACTCGCCGCAGCCCTCCTCACCACCCTCCCTTCATCGACAGTAACACTCACAGACGTTGTTCTCCCCACGGTCCCCAAGAGCGCAGCCCAACATGCCTCCCGCACACAATGCATCGAAGCAGACCTGACGAACCCAAGCGTAGTCGACAGCCTCATCACCTCCACCAACCGCTATGACACCATCTACCTCCTCCACGGCATCATGTCCAGTGGATCTGAAGCGAACTTCGAACTAGGCATGCGCGTCAACCTCGACGCAACCCGCTACATCCTCGACCGCCTCCGCACCGTCACACCCGGCGTCAAAGTCGTCTTTACCTCCAGTCTAGCAGTATACGGCCTCGCACCACCAGGCTATATCATTAACGAGAGCAACTTCCCCGCCGTGCCGTCCTCGTCGTACGGATCTCAGAAACTCATCATCGAGACGCTGCTGAATGATTACTCCCGTCGCGGGTTCCTGGATGGTCGTGCCGTCCGTCTCCCCACTGTTACTGTGAGGGCGGGTAAGCCGACACAGGCGGCGAGTAGCTTCGCGAGTGATATTATTCGGGAGCCGTTTAATGGCCGGCCTGCGGTGTTGCCGGTTGCTAAGGAGACGGAGATGTGGATTTGTTCGCCGGCGACGGTGGTGAGGAATTTGGTTAAGGCGAGGGAGATCCCGGCGGAGAAGTTTGGAGATTCGAGATCAGTCAACTTGCCTGGGTTGAAGGTTAGTATTGCGGAGATGCTGGATGCGTTGGAGAGTATTGGGGGGAAGGAGAGGAGAGGGTTGGTGGAGGAGAGGTATGATGCGGATATTGATCGGATTGTGCAGACGTGGACGCCCAATTTTGATACCAAGAGGGCGTTGGAGTTGGGGTTTGTGGGGGACGTATCAATGAGGGAGAATGTGGAGATGTATGCGAAGAGTTTGGGGAGTGAGTAGGTTGTATTCAGTGGTGATGATGGTAGTAATGGAAGTGATTGATTCATATGCTATTGGGAGTCATTGTATGGAGGTTAACTGCTTTGGGTATAGTGGAGTCATGTGATATGTAGTAATTATGGTGAGGAGGATCAAATAGGTGATTGGTATTTGATTGTTGATGTCTCTTGATGAGTATAGACTCTGTTTGGATTTAATTGATGTTGTACACTTTTTGAATGGCGGTCTCCAGACCGTGCTAGTAGCAACAACTGTCTAAGCAAAAGAAGCTAGGGAACAGTCGGAGCGAATGCGGTGGTTTGGAAAAGCGGGTCATGTGATTGGCTGGCGGATGGGCGAACAATTTGACTCCCGAACTTCAACCTCGCATCTCCAGGGCTGACCTGACCGTCTTGTTGCACCCTTCCTCATTCCTCCCTCCTTCCCCCCAACCCACCTCCATCTTCACACAATGGCTTCTCGGCGCCTAGCGTTCAACCTTAACCAGGCTCTCCGGAGCAAGGCCGCCCTGAAGGCCATCCAGCCCGTCAAGCGTGGCTTCGCTTCCCCGGTCACCTTGCCTTCCACCACCCAGTCCACCACTCTCTCCAACGGTTTCACGGTACGCCGAATGGGTTATCTCAATGGCTCAAGGAACTCACTGACTTGCCCCAGATCGCTACTGAGTACTCCCCATGGGCTCAGACTTCCACTGTTGGCGTGTGGATCGATGCCGGTAGCCGGGCAGAGACTGACAAGACCAACGGAACCGCGCACTTCCTGGAGCACCTTGCTTTCAAGGTATATAAAACTTGCAAATTGGTGGCCTGGAAATGCGATAGCTGACATCAACTAGGGCACCAACAAGCGTTCCCAGCACCAATTGGAGCTCGAGATCGAGAACATGGGCGCTCACCTGAACGCCTACACATCGGTACGGCCCGGAAACATGGAAGAATCAATTCCCTTGGATCGCAACTAACGCCGCATGACTACAGCGCGAGAACACCGTCTACTACGCCAAGTCCTTCAACAACGATGTCCCCAAGGCCGTCGACATCCTCGCCGATATCCTTCAGAACTCCAAGCTGGAGCCCACTGCCATCGAGCGTGAGCGCGACGTCATCCTCCGTGAGCAGGAGGAGGTCGACAAGCAGCTCGAGGAGGTTGTTTTCGACCACCTCCACGCCACTGCTTTCCAGAACCAGCCCCTCGGTCGCACCATCCTCGGCCCCAAGCAGAACATCCAGACCATCTCCCGTGACAACCTGGTCGACTACATCAAGACCAACTACACTGCTGACCGCATGGTCCTCGTTGGTGCCGGTGGTATCCCCCACGAGCAGCTCGTGAGACTCGCTGAGGAGCACTTCGGTGGCCTCCCCAGCAAGCCCCCGACCTCTGCTGCCCTGGCCCTCACCGCCGAGCAGAAGCGTATCCCCGAGTTCATCGGTTCCGAGGTCAGAATCCGTGACGACACTCTCCCCACTGCCCACATTGCCCTTGCCGTCGAGGGTGTTAGCTGGAAGGACGATGACTACTTCACCGCTCTTGTTACCCAGGCCATCGTCGGTAACTGGGACCGTGCCATGGGTAACTCCTCCTACCTTGGCAGCAAGCTCAGCTCTTTCGTTGAGTACCACGGCCTTGCCAACAGCTTCATGAGTTTCTCCACCAGCTACAGCGACACTGGGTAGGTTATATGGTGTCCGTCCTTAAAGATTTTCGCTAATCGATTGGTATACAGTCTGTGGGGTATCTACCTGACCTCCGAGAACGTCACCCGCCTCGAGGACCTCATCCACTTCACCCTCCGTGAATGGTCCCGCCTGAGCTACAACGTTACCTCCGCTGAGGTTGAGCGCGCTAAGGCTCAGCTGAAGGCCTCCATCCTCCTCTCCCTTGACGGCACCACCGCCGTTGCCGAAGACATTGGTCGCCAGATCATCACCACCGGCCGCCGCCTCAGCCCCGAGGACATCGAGCGCACGATCGGCCAGATCACCGAGAAGGATGTCATGGACTTCGCCTCCCGCAAGCTGTGGGATCAGGACATTGCCATGAGCGCTGTCGGCAGCATCGAGGCCGTCCTCGACTACAACCGTATCCGTGCGGACATGAGCCGCAACTCTCTGTAAAAAGGGAGAGCTCATGAATGTGGATTGAGAGAGTGCGAGTGAGAGAAGAAGCAGAAGAAGATTTATGGCCCGTGTTTTCTTGTTTTGGTGATTTTCTAATAGATAGAAGCGGTGGTCGTGCCCGAAGGAGCGTGTCATGTACAGTACACAACTGTCGCTATATCAAAATGTATTTGTTTAGTTTCAGTTTGCACCGTTACACCGTAGAAGAACAACACCAGCCAGTTTATCAGTTCACCTCTCGTGTATTTTCACCCCAAGAGAATTATAATCAAACAGCAAAACACCAACAAACACCAATCCCGAAAAAAAAAACTATGATCCAAAATCCCAATGCCTTCGACGACAAACACAAAATCACCCAAAATTATTCCTAAGTTGAGATTTAAGCATACTGCATGCCCCCGGGAGCCTTATACCCCTGCTGCGCACCAGCACCGCCCTCCAACAACGCCGCCCGACTCTCCAACTCCTTCTCATGCTGCATGAGCGTGCAGCACGGGCAGCAGCACGCCCGCATACAATCCCCGCATCCGGACCCTTCTAGGCCGAATTTCTCTCGGATTTGACCGCGCTTCATCATCAGTGGGATGAAGTGGAAGCCGCAGTAGCTGAGGAGGAAGTAGAGGCAGCACTGAATTGCATTGTCAGTATTAGATTGATTGTATGGGAGGAGAGATAGGTTTGGTGGGAGGGGTAGGTAGGTGAACGTACACCACCGTTCATCATGCTATCATCTTTCAGGGTGGGGTCTTCGAAACGAGAGCTGGTGCGGCCGTGTAGGCAGCAGGGGCAGCAGCAGCCGAGGAAGCCTGTTCATTGTATTGTTTAGTTTGGTTATTTTTGGGGATTAGGGGTTGGTTGTTGATGTGGGAGGAAGGAGAGGATAGACGTACAGGTGCCGCAAGGGGAGCAGCAGTCCCAGAAACCGGAGGACCATTCTTGACCTTCGCCCATTTTGATTAATTACTTTGTTTGGATGTGGTGGTGAGGTAATTGGGTATATGGTGTGGTGTGAGCGAAAAGGTGTTTTATATGCTGGGTATCTCAAGGGTGTTGTAGATAGGAAAGAGAAAGAAACAATTGAACGAATGTATGTATGTATAGAATCAAAGGAATCGAGTATGTTTAAAATAGTAGAAAATAAAAGAAAGTGATACTGACTCCCTGTCAGCAAAGCATACTTCCTCGGGTCTTATAACTCTTGTCCAACCCACCATGCCCCCCCTATAACTAAACTAACTTCTGTCTCTGGTTACAATTACGCCCGATCTTGCATGGGGGCGATGCAAATCGCACGGCACTGACAGTGACTCGAGAAGAAAAAAAAAAATAAGTCACACATCAAACAAAGAGACAAAACGAAAATCAGCCCCAGGACAGACTCCACACACGAACACAGCCTTGCATTAGTGTTGGTTGGCGTTCAAGGAAACCAAAAACAGACAGCCGTTGATCGCTATCCATCCGCCTTAGACTAGTATAGGGAAAGTAAGGGCAGGAATCTAAGGGGCCGTTCGCTGGCTGCTGCTGATTTGGGTAGATGAATAGGAATCGGGCCAAGGAATTAGTTTTGACGAGTTTAGTAGTGGCTGTTTATCTCTACCTATCTAGATAGCTGGTTTTGGCCCTTCGGTTTGGGGGCCAACAGGAACCTCAAACATGGGTGTCAGTCAGGGTTGTTGTCAGGGCGTAAGCGAGGGCTTGCAGCAGTCAGAAATGGTGAAGGGGTGGGGGGTTGTTTTAGGTTTTCTTGGTTTCTTGGTCTTAAGGTAGACAAGAGTATTATATGAGGATGCGCGGTGATTAATTCCGAAAGAAGAGATGGCAGTTCGTATTGAAGGTTGAGACATGAAGGTTGAAGGGTGGATGTTTAGGTAACGAGATCGTGTTTAGGGGCATCGCGGGAAGGAAAACACGGGCGTGGATCGCGATCAGGGCTCGCTCGCGGGTTGACTGATTGACCGCGGTTTTTGGGCGTCGGTTCTGCCTAGTGTGCCTAGATAGATAGGGTCCGTCTATCCATGTGAACAAACTTAGCAACAATACACGACACTAACAATGCAATCTAAGCTTTTCTAGAGCCCGTGTTTTTTGGGTCGAAATAGTTTCATTTTCAGCCACTGCCTCAATGGCATAGGGTGCATTGCTTGGCCAATTCCGTTAGTTAAATTATGTTCAGCTGCTGCTTCTACTTATTGGGCTGGGATGATGGTGACTAGTAGGTAATGGTGCTCCCATTCCTTGGTCTAAAACACTAATGACGGACTAGGTAGTGTGATTGTGCGGCTGATCAGGCCAGAGTGAATTCTTTGGTGTGACTGCTATTGACAGTTGACACTGTTATGGAGGCTCAACAACCAGACCGCTGAGTTCGCGGAGATGAGCTCGACAGGGATGCTAGGCACTAGTTAGGGAACTAACGGGCTGGTCTGCTCCTTGGACACACTGCGTAGTAGAAGGATGATTTTGCTTCGGTTGTACGGAACCTTCCACCTGTCAACAAAAGCAAATAACGGCAAGAGAGGCTGTTGCTTGAACTCCGCACTACCTGTTCTTATGTATGGTACGCTGCTTATCGCAGTGATGCTTCCACTCAGCCCTGCTAAGCCACGCACGGGGCAGGCCCGGGATGGCTGAGACTGGCTAAGCTCTTCTCCGAGCGAAGAACCCTGGTCAGAATCGGGTCTTCAACGACCAACCCCTGCAAATCCCCCGAGCTACGGCAAACACTGCTGCCGCCGCGAGATACAGCACACCAGCGAAGATGATGAGCCCGCCGTACTGCCCATGATCGCGCTGGATGATTGCACCGGCGATCGGAATCCCTGTGAGTACGCCGAGACTGGCGATGGTATACGTTGTGCCCGTCCGCGCTCCGTAGTCCTCGGTTGCACAGATCTGTGAGATACAGACCGGAGACAGACTCATGGCAGCTCCGCTCCAGAAGCCAAACAGTACGGCATAACAGACAATTGCGCCCAAGCTACTTCCAGACTTGTACCACAATGCAAGGGTCAATATTGAGCATACGAGGGAGGTAACAACCATCATGTTGAACCTCCCTAAGCGATCAGCAGCTAGGCCTGGTAACAGACGGCCAGGGATCAGTCCGATGTTCAGGAATACAAGCAGTAGATATGAAACTGTGTTGCTCAACCCGACGTGGACTGCATATGAAGAAAGATATGTGTTTGGTACGAACACGGCAAAGTCAGCAAGAAATATTGCGGCTGTGGTGACGGCGTACTTGGGATCTTTTATTGCTTTGAAATCTGCTAGCGCACTGCCTCCGGTTTCTTTGCCGAGGGGTAGCCGGGTCCTGATCAGAAGACACGCGATAGCACAGAGGACGAGGCTCAGGAGTGCAATGATCCGGATCGACCAGCCAAATCCGATCTTCGGCGCGTTGAAGTAAATGATCGCAGGGAAGATCACACCTCCGAGTCCACCTGCTGTGCAAGCAAGTCCAGTGACAAATGCTCGACGGACGTTGAACCAATGGCCGATTGCTGCAACAGCCGGAGTAAACAGAGCACTAGCCGATATTCCTCCCAAAACGCTGAAAGACAGGAAGATCTGATAGTATTCTACACATAGTCAGTTGCGATGCTGCTGTTATTCTCTCGGGATCTTACCTTTACTAAAACTGAAGCATACCAACGATACTACCATGCCGATGGACCCTGGAAGAATGATGTAGTTTGGGCCCCATGTATCCAAGATTGGCCCTATAACAGTCAATAAGATGATTAGCCGGTCATATTCAAAGCTTGACGCCGAAGTACGCACCACTTTGGGCTCCTGCGAAGTAAAGGAAGAATCCATAAGCACCATAAATCCAGCCATAGCTCGACTCTGGGTAGTCTCTGAGCTGATGGGTGCTGGTCCAGATATGGAGCGTCCCCGCAGTGTTCATCAAGCCCAAGGCTGGGACCATAGCGCACCATGCGCCGAAGACCACCAGCCATGCCTGGAGACCTCCTTCCGGGTAGTATATACTGTCATCTTCCTGCTCGGTGGTTTCCTCGGAAAATGTTGAGTAGACCGACAACTCTGTATCCATTTTCTTTCCCCGATATAATTGCACATTTAGGCGACATTGAGTTCCCACGGATTCGAGCTCTCCGGACAATGACCGCTTAAGAGGCACGGCCGCATCAGAGGCGGTGATTGCTTTGCTGGCATAGGAAATATTGACGCCAATCAATGCAAGGGCTACCTGCACTCATTATCTGGCCGACAGCATTTGATAAGGCCAAGGATCTTCGGAGCATAATGAAGTGAGCCTGGTTGGCCTAAGTGGCGCTTGAAATTGGTTCTATCCTGCTGTGCTCCTAGGGTACTACACAGACACTGCTCCAGCTACATATTCCGTCCAGATCGGTGATTATAACCTAACCCTGGGAATGATCGTAAATATGTATATATTCGGAGTTCATCATTTCCTGTGCACATTGGCGTCCAATCTATGCAGCTGGTCATTCCCCGAAGACAACCTTGGTGTCTGGTCGGGTCTGGTTTCATGAGCGATCATCAACTGGTGAATTTATGTGAACAAAGGCTAACTACATACGGTTAGTGTACCGGCCCGAGGATGTTCCATGGCGGGACGGGCTTACATAATGGCGGGCGGATTGGAGGCGCGATTGGCGATGGATTGATTTCTGCAGCGGAGAAATTGCGGAAGCTCGTCTGGTTCTTTCGCATCGCAATTAATCTTGATCATCATGGGTAAGCGTGGAAAGAAGGTATGTAAGACAATCTCCATGTCCGGGAGATTATAATTATCTCGTCAATTTTGCATTTGCTTTCCATCGTGGGCGGGGACTAACTTCATTATCTCGGCAGGGCGGCGGCGGTCGCGAACGTCAAAACTGGCAGCAAGTCGCCAGGGAAAACGCCAAGTTCGAAAGCTACTACAACGAGCAGGGATTTATCCCCGAGGAGGAGAGGGAGGCTTTCTGGGAGGCCATCAGGAGGGATCTGCCTAACAGCTTCCGCTTCACCGGATCTCGTGGGTACGTTATTATCCTTGCGCTGGACTATAGCAGCTCCTGCGATATCGTTCGAGTCAATGCAACTAACGTTCGCTTCAAGCCATGCGCTAGCCGTCCAGGAAAAGCTCAAGAACTTCTACATCCCCGAAATTACTTCGATCAAATACGAGGGCAAAGATGTCGAGCCTCCCCGTCCCGTTCCCTGGTACCCCGACCAACTCGCCTGGTCCATGACCACCCCCAAGCAGGTCGTTCGGCGCTTCGCCCCCTTCGCTTCGTTCCAGAAATTCCTCGTCGCCGAGACCGAGGTCGGCAACATCAGCAGACAGGAGGTAGTTAGCATGATCCCTCCTCTTCTGCTTGATGTCAAGCCTGGCATGACCGTTCTGGATATGTGCGCTGCCCCTGGTAGCAAGTCCGCACAGCTCATGGAGATGATCCACGCCGGCGAGGAGGAATCCATGCAACAAGTGACCGCGAAGGTGGCTGAGGGCACCGCTTCCGCCGAACCTATGGGACCGGAAGGTCTGGGTGACGATGGCCGAACCACCGGCTTGCTGATCGCCAACGACGCCGACTACAAGCGCGCCCACATGTTGATCCACCAGATGAAGCGACTGAGCTCGCCCAACTTGATTGTGACGAACCACGACGCCACGATGTTCCCCTCGATCAAGTTGCCTCCGGAGCCCGCTCCCGAAGGAAAGCCCGTCAAGAACAAGTACCTCAAGTTTGACCGCATCCTGGCTGATGTGCCTTGCACCGGTGACGGAACGGCGAGAAAGAACTGGGGTGTCTGGAAGGACTGGAACTACAACAACGCTCTGGGATTGTACGCCACTCAGGTCCGGATCCTTGTCCGCGCTCTGCAGATGTTGAAGGTCGGTGGCCGCGTGGTCTACTCCACCTGCAGTATGAACCCCATTGAGAACGAGGCCGTCATTGCCAGCGCTTTGG